TTTAAGGGCTGTATTGAAACAAAAGCGACCTGCAACGATCATTGCAAAACAAGCTGAAATTTTGGACCGAGTCTTTCTCCATCGGCTGATATTCGTCATACTTGGTGTGTCTTTAGTAACTAACCTTATAAGATACATATTCAATGATGGGATAAGATATTATCATTATGATCAAGCATTTGAAATATTGTTAGTGTTGCCGATATACTCGATCATTCCAATAATTCCATTAGCATTTCCAATATTATGGATTATTACGCGTAGTTTTGCAAATGCAACTCTATTGGTTTTATTTGAAGCCTTACAAATATCCGAAACTGAATATGAAGAATATGATGAGATGGATGAGTTTGATGCTGACGCACCTCCGCCTACGAAAAATGTTCAGATTGATAGAGGTTCACTTAATACTTTTAAATTTTATAATTTATTTATCTATTCATGATTTTATACACGCGTATATATATTTATTTATTGGTAGCCGCTGTATGGAATAAATTTCAACATTTATTCACTGCACGAGATGGTGAATCACTTTATCGATCAACAAACTTGTTTGAGTCGCTTGGAAGCGCTACGGTTATTTGTTCACTTGACCGTGAAGGTACTATTTCATCGGTATGTCATTGTTTACCGATTTACGTGAGAATCTCGGTTCTTTATTGTATATTTCTCAAAACTCATTGATAGAATTAAACTATAGCCATTTGGTAAGTCTTAATAATTTGATAATAATTTTATAATAATTTTATACTGTGTTTGTAATAATAATAATAATAATAACTATTTATTAAAATTTTCAAGCATCGGTTGATCAAATTTTGTTTCCAAACGAAGAAGAAGATATAACAGTTCTTGACATAGCGGAGGATCCAAGTACCTCTTTTCGTGTTAAATTTGAGGACCAGGACTGGGACCAACATTTATCGTATGTAAAAAAAGAATTTGTTTATTTGTTATTATTGGTTATGATTTACATTTATCATAATTTTCTAGTCGTCTTAAACCTCTTGGTCTTAATCTTTTGTTAAACACAAATTGTGGTGTGTTACAAGGACGAAAACGCGCAGAACAACATAGGAAAAATTCTAGCTTTCACATTCATGCTAAGATAAAACCTGCAAGACAATGTAGGCCAATAATTTTTGTTATTTATTCATGTCCTAATTCTATATAAATAACCTTTTTAAATTTATAATATAGCATGTTTATGCCGTCTTGGTAAAGAAATTGGATTCACCGATGATGCTTTACAATCTTTTATAAAAAGAAAAGAAATATTTGTAAATGCGCCATGTCATCCGTCATTAAAAGATCGCATGACAAAGGATCAATGGGAAGTTCCTAGCATGAATTCCTCTATTTACGAAGAACTTAATTCAGGTACGTTTTTTCTTTATCATAATTAATTACTATTTTATAAAATTTACAATTTTTTCATTTTGTTAGGAAGTTGCCAATTACTGTCTGATGGAAATTTGGAGATTATACTTGATAATTGTTCCGATTATTGGAATGGTCAAGGACTGCAACCCATGAGCGAAGTGGTCAGTTAATGATATAATTAAAGGTTTTCTTTTTTTCTAATATAAACATACATTTACACATAATAATTTATTTAATATCTGTAGATTGAAAACAAGATTTATGATTTTTATCAAAATGCTATTATTAATGACATGCAATGTGTTGCATATGCATATCGTCCAATAAATGTTGTAAATGGAAATAAAATCCCATTTTTAAACTCGACTTCATCTGGTTCAGGTGATACTTATATTGTATTGCCAAGTCCACCAGAGGCTGAACTTATGTCTGATTCCGAAGATTCAGTAGATCAGGATCTTTCCTTGTCTCAATTAGTTAGATTACATCGCCTGAAAAATGGCCTATTGGAAGCAAATCTCCATGATTTTTCATTTGACCAAGAGAACACAACTTCTCAAGATGAAGAGTTGTTTTATCAGGATGTTATTCAGGGTCAGATTTTCCTGGCAATGGCAACACTTTGTCATCAGCCTAAACCAGTTAGTTGTTTTTTTTTTTTTTTACATTAGAAATAAATTTAAAATTTTTGAAGTAAATGTTACAACGACTTTTATATATGCTAGGATGTATGCAATTTCATTGAAGATCTTAAATTAGCTGGTATTCGATTTGTTTATTTCTCATCTACTGCCGAAAGAGAAAGCAAAGGTTTGATAAGTTTTTAAACATTCCCCGGTTTAAACAAAATATGTTAATCATTTTAAATCACAAATTTAAAGCATACGCAGAAAGGCTTGGCCTTGAGACTGATTGGAATACCTGTATTTTGCTTTCTTCACCCGGTGATGAAAATTCTTTTGGAGATGGTTATTTGGAATCTCATGACATAAAAGCTCGTCTTCCGCGTGGGATAGTTAATATAAGGGATCATTTAATGGTATCAAAATTTTAGGTTAGTTTTTTTTTCATTCTTCAGGATTTCGAAATTGATTAACGTTATATTTTAAAGGAGACAGACGATATTCCTCTGCAAGTATCCTTGTTTTCAGAATGTACACCTGAAACAACGCAAGAAATGATTAAAATATTTCAAGAATACGGAGAGGTTGTGTGTTGCGTTGGAAGTGCATTGAACGCTTTTAATACACATAGCTTTGCTGTGGTATGAATTTGATTGCACACACATATATAAAATGATTTTAGGTTTTTCATGCGTGATTTTTTGGGCCACATTCAGGCAGATGTAAGTGTTGCTATTGAACCTATGCACACACGTGCACAAACAAAGAATGGGCTATGTCACTTAGGTAAAGGGCGGTCTCCTATGGCTCTTGGTGCGGCGTTCACAACTTTGCCATGTGGGCTATTTATGCATGATGATACGAGTCTGTATGCTCTAACCGATATAATACGTGAATCTAGGCGATTAATTAATGGTCTGAGAATGGTAAGTATTATTTATTTAACCATTTATTTTAAGTACAAAGTCTTAGTATTATTTATAATGTTTTGTAGGGAGTGTCATTTATGAGTGGCACATATCTTTCTATCTCGCTCTTATTTGTGTTATCTTACTTTCTTTTCCTACCACCCATATTTACCGGATATCAAATATTATGGGTTACGTGCATTATTTCACCTATGCTAGCATTTTCATTTCTCTTTAGTCCTCATGTTACAGATACTATGACAACAATGACAGGTTCGACATTATTAAATAATTCCTTAATTAAGAATTATCATTTTATTAATAGTTCTATATATTGCAGTTAAAAATATTGATCATCTTCCCGATTTGCCGAGATTTTTTTGTTATTTCATATTAAGATTTTCATTGCCGGTGTTAATGTCTCTTTTCATGTTTGCACTGTGCGTAAATTTTACAAACCATTGATTATTCCACTTGTTCTTACTAATTGATATATATATATATTTAGGTGTCTATATTATTTCGGTAATATGACTGTATACGGACCATTTGGAAATGACGGATGGCTGAGATGGTCTCACGAACAACAATGGGTACTTATATATGCACAAAATTATACTTTGTTTACATTCGTATGGTCTTTAGGTAAGAACAGACTTTAGATCGATTACTATTATTATTATTTTAAAGAAAAAACGATCTAATTATTTTGCTTGCTTAATGTGATTTAAGCTTGTATATCGTGTACTTTTGTAAACCGCACATTATCATTACGTAAATTCAATCCGTTGTGGAATCATGTATGGGTTTTGGCTTTTATTGCAAGGTATTATTTGAATTACATTACTATTATTTTTTAGTTATATTTGAATCATTGTATATGTTAATGCTTTGCAATTTTAAAACCAAACAGCATAATTTTGCAAGCGATATTTACCACGATATCGCTAATGCTAGGACCAACAAGATTATTACATAAATTACCCTACTACATTTACCTAATTGCATTGTTGACACCAATAATAGTGTTCATACCGGTACAGGAGTTGGTCAAAATGCACGATAAAAATGAATATGATAGGTTTCAAAAAAGATCCAAATTGTTATTCAAGTATGTATTAAAAAAATTTATAATTTTCACACTTGTGTATATGTATCTAACATTTAATTTCTCTCCCTTATGACAAATCAGTACAAAATTGGGAATGCATTCTCCGGTTTAGTTTGCGTCCTAAAATAATGAACATTTATGAATCGAAATTATTTGTAATAAAATATGTACGTATACTTTTGTAATTGAGATTATGAAGATATGCAAATATGAAATGCTAGATCGAAATAGGAATTTGATTAAATTATTTTGCTGAATGATAATTTTGATTATGATTAGAATAACTGAATTTCGCATTCTCGTGTATTATGTACCACGTGCGTGTACTATGCCAATGCAATAGATCAAGTTGTGATCAATCAGAATATACTCGTCTAGTAACTCTAATATACCGGGTGTTTGATAAGTCCCTAAACAGGACCTTTTTGTTAATCGCTTAGAAGTTTTCTTTTTACTAATAAAAAAAACAATACTCCTGATAATTAAAGTGGTTAACAAACAAAAAGGTTCCGTCTAGGGACTTATCAAACAGCCAATGGTTTGGAATCAGCTTTATTAATAAAACCAGTTACAGACTCTATATTTTAAGTTAGTGCTTGGATCTGTTGAAAAAATCTATCATAGACCATACATATTTTTTTTGATATCCATTGGATCATCCGAAATAGACCATATCGATATCGGCCAATTTTGATTTTTTGGAAGGTCATGCATTGGGTTCCGTGGCCGGGCCTAACAATTATATTTTGTAAATTCGAGTCGGGCCGGGCTAAAAAAATTGATATATATATATATATATGTTTAAAATATAGGAATTTTTAATTTATCAGGTGTAACGTAAATTATGCGAATTATCGTTATGCGAATTTCGAGTTATTAGCCAATAAAATTATAAC